ATTGTTATGCCGAGTGGCCAGCCCGAGTAACATAACCCTGTACCCATAACCCTCAGAGCTTGATTCTGTCATTGAGTGTAATCTGCATCTTGTTCTGTAAGAGCAACAATGTAGCCCCAAGCAGACAAAGTAGGTTTCCTTCTTGAAATGTTTCTATCGTGTGTGGGGAGGATGTGTGAGAGTACAAGAACAGTGGAAGAGAAAATAGCTGATAATACCTCCATCTAATTAAAGTGAATGCAGATGGTAATAATTAACAGTTGATTTTATTTTCTTAAAATATGACCTTGGTTGAATTTATACTCAACTGAAGCAAGCTGCATGAAAGTTTCTGTTTGTTATTTGTGATTCCAGATGAGTGCTTAATGAAACAATTGAATTGTTTCCAATAAACATCACAGTAAGAATCCCCTGAGGTGAAATACAATATGGTCATGCATTTCACACACTAATTCGGCATTCACTTTTGACTCTCAATATTTTGTACAAGATGTCTTAGGCATTACATAATTAATTGATTTCTAATGTATTCCAGTAACTTTTGGTCTGCGTTTTGTGTTTTGTATTCATAGCTTTCAAACAACAGAACTTTTCATTTTTCTATAGTTCAACATTTACAAGACATATCAATTCTGCAATCCTTTATCGCAAACAAACCAAAATATTTTAAAACAAAACTAAATGAAAACAAATGTTGGCCACAGTGCATGCGAGTCTTATGCTTAATGTGCTTCAGGATTTGAAAGTACATTCCCATTGACGTAGCATTTTGCAACATGAATTGTAGTGTGTTGAAACAAGTTGGAATCAACTCCAAAGATCAAATGTATACATAAGGGTTTTGTGACAATTGGAGGTTATTTCAGTTCTTTTACTTAATTTCCACTTTATTCAATCAAAAGTAGATTAAAGTTTTATGGAATAAAACGTCATTATTCTTCCACTAATATTTACCATACTAATACTCTTTTATTGAAGCCTCTAAAAATGGATCTATCTACACATTATCTGTATGTTCTATTAAAAATCTGTGGTTAAACATTCACAACATTGTAACACGCTACATAAACATTTCCAAACGGATGTTAAAATTTGGAAATGTACCTTCAATTATTAATTGAGACTGTAAAGATAACTTGAGTGTTAAATTACATAGAATGTACAGGGAAAAACATAATCCTCTTATCCCGACTGGACCATAAAACGTATGTAGCAGCAGAAGTAGACCATTCAGCCCTTCGAGTCTGTTGTGCCATTCAATGAGATCATGGCTGATCTGATGAAAAATATTATAATACCTCATTTTGCATCCTTTTTGTCTGAAAAGGAGCCTCAATACCTTATTTACACTCTCCATGGTCTTCTCAACTTGTATTGCTGCTACTAAAGACCTATGCATCTATATACTCAAGACTTTGATGTTCTTCTAGCTTCTTTAGTTTGTTATTTTCCAAGGGTATGTGTGCTTTTTATTCCTTCTAATAAATAAAAATAGAGAAGTTTGAAACAGTGCAATGAAGTTAGATTTTGTGGATCAGTATCCTGGATATCAAGGAAAACTTAAAAACCTAGCTGCTCAAACAATTTGGACAAAGCCTGCCTAAAACTGACAATTGGCTCCTTTGTTTAGATCTCAGCCAATGATAATACTGGACAAATTAGATTCCAGAATGAAACCTGCCTTGAGGGACATTCAGTTATATTTTTGCAATTTGGTTACTGTGGTGGTCAGTCACTGAACAAACTCAAGAGACTGACATTGTACCTTTAACTAAATGACATATGTTCCATACCATAAAGGAAAAAAGATAAAACAAAGCTGTATGGCAATTCGAAAAGAACTCATCATAAATAGCAAAAAGATGGATTCATCTTTTGCAAAATCCCTTGCCAGACACTCAACCCCAATAAAATGTCACTTTTATCTCTTTTAGTTTATTTACTCAACTGTCAAACTAGCAATTTTTTTGTGGATTTCTGCACATTCACCAGATGTAACTCTCTCCATTGCTTTCTCTCTGAGACACACAGATACTGGCTAATTCACTGACTTTTCTCACTGAATTCTATGAAGAAACTCAGGGCTTTGACAACCATTAGGCTTCTGGACAGCAGATCTGCTGTTATGGATCGTTTCTGCTTAACTGAATGTGCTTCTGGCCTCTGGCCTCTTTCTTTATCTAGATCACAAAAGCCCAACTTAGTAAATACTTAACAATTTCTGCACAACTAGACTTGTCTAGTCATTTGGCTTAAGTTACATGGAATCTGGAAATGCTGCTTTGACCCACTGCGAAAATAAAATTATGTTTCTGTTTCTTAAAAAGAGTACAAGTTACCTTCACAGCACTGAAAAGCAAAAACCTATTTACCTCTATTTTAGAACCCAAGTCCCTGAATAATAAAAATGTGTTATAAATCTTCACAGTTGCAAAATGTGAATTTGATGCATGGCTCAGCTTCTTCTGTTAAATTGGAAATACATTGCATCTGTAGTAGTTGAAGATGTGAGCCATGAATGCCACATTTGCTTATTTGGTTCAAAATAACTAATTCATAAATTTGACAATTAGATCTTATCTTCCACCAAAATCCTATGAACTTCGCCACATTGACTTCTGTACTAAAATCTCAAGTGTGACATTCTCATTCTTATATTTTTAAACAGTTCTGTTGTCCCATCCAGTACTACGATGTGCCCTCCTCCTCTCTTTATAAAAAGCAAACAGCTATTTTTTTAAAGGTCAGTCTTTCATGGCAATCCTTTTTAAGCAACAGGAAATATTCCTGAAGAGAATAATTGAGCATGTTGATTTCTGTTTAGTCAAAGCAATAGACCTAAACATAGAATTGACCAGTTTCAAAATCTCCCCGCTCCCGGCCTCATCTCATGTCCAACCTTCCCTGTCATCCCCACCTCGTTGATCTGACACAACCTGTCCATCTTCTTCCCCACCTATCCGCCCCACCCTCCCCAGTGACCAATCCCCACTACCCCTACCTGCATCCACCTATCGCCAACCCACCTACCTTCCCCCAGCCCCACTACTCCTACCTCTATTTATTTCCCAGCTGTCTCCCCCATCCCCAGTCCTGATGATGGGTCCCGACCTAAAACATCGACTCTATTGCTCCTCTGATGCTGCCTGACCTGCTGTGTTCCTCCAGCTCTACACTGCATTGATGCTGACTCCAGCATCTGCAGTTCTTGCTATCACCGATGTTCAAAGAAATGTCTCAAAGGAGGCAAATATGATAGAAAGGTAGAGAGAGTGGTTTAGGGAGAATATTCCAGAGCTTAGGGTTTGGCTTCCAATGGAACAATTAAAATTGGGAGTGCACAAAAGGCCATAATCAGAAGACTTTTAACAACTCCTGAGGGTTATGGGATTGGAGAATATTACAGAATTGTGTAGGGGCAAAATAATAGAAGAATTTGTAAACAACGATGAACAAGAGCACAAAAAAATAGTAGACAAAGATGATAAGACCCATTGAGACTGCACCTCCATTCAACATGATCTTGACTGAGTTTGGGCTTCTACTCCTTTGTCCTGCCTGGTCCCCATATTCCTGGATTTCTTGAGAGACCAAATGTCTGTCAATTCCAACTATATTATATTCAGTGATGGAGCAGTCGCAATCCTCTGGTGCAGAGAATTCCAGAGATTAACAACACATTAAGTGAAGAAATTCCTCCTCCTCAGTCCTGAATGATCAATTACCCTGAGACTGTATCCACATTTATATGTGTGGTGGTTTTTCTCCCCCCTTTGTTTCTTATTTCCTTGCTTCTCTCTTTCATTTATTATCTGCTGCTTCTCCTTTAAAGGTTGCAGGCTTGTGTCTGTGGGTGCTGTTAATGCCTAAAAAGAACAAGTTGTGATGAATCTTTGTTTTCATGCTTTCCCCAAGGGGCAAAATTCTAGAACCAATCAATGAATGTGAATAGGTGAGCTTATTGATAAATTAAAGATTTTAAAATGTGTTTTCTTACCCAGTTTAGTGGGTTGGAGCTTTCCTGTCAGCACCATTTACATGTTTATTTTTAGGTCTGATCTCTCTTGGGTCCCTTGTAAACTGCCTTTCTTTTTTATAGGAGTGAGAAGTACTCTCCATGATTCAGTATAGGTTTGTACCATTTAGGTCTAGTTGGAGTACTTTAGCTTTGATTGTAGGATTTTAATTTTGGTTGTAGTTGTAACTTGAGCTCAGAACTCGGACAGATAATTCGATGACTGTTAGGAAAAATACCATATTGCTACCATACTGTTGTTATCTTTTCAGCCTCTATCATCCACTTACTATCACTAACTAGCTGTCCCATCTAGCTTTTAGTGTCCACACACAGCCTGTATATAGTGCGATTTGTGTTTTTCAAAATGTTAGTCTACATAATGTATACCCAAGAGCTTATTTTTGTTGAAACAGATGCCTTGAAGTTTATTAACAACAGATATTTACACAGCTACAATATCACAGACTGACACACATTTTCTGGGTTCTGTGTTTACTGATGTTTTGTACATGACATGAACATAGCTGACTGACTGAACACACAACAGTAACTCTGTTGTATAGAAAGAGTGACTAAGATACATGTCTGTCTGATCTAGAATCTGTTATAATATGGATTGACTGGCTCTGTTTAAAATTACAAGGTTTAAGCCAAACCTTGTATAACAGGAAGAAGATTAACACAATAACATTTTATCTATGATCACATTATATGTTTAATGGGTTACTGTTAATAAAAACTGATGTGAAAATTAACATCACAATGTCAAATGTGGCACTATAAAGCTTACAGTAATTCTTGCTAATTCTTCTCTTTTTCTACCATAAGTGTTTAATTATTTTGGCTGTATATGTCATTGACTAATGTGAACTTTTCTTTTCAGAGACCAAACAGTGCCTTTGAATGAGCATTGGCTATAATACATCCTGTCTGTTTCCAGTGACCCATGTGTGACCTAATTTTTCCTCCTTTTGTTTTGCAGAAATGACTCGTATTGTGCAGTTGGACCTGGATTTGAAGTACATGTCTAGCATCAGGAGTCTGTTTGGGGAGTTTGAGAAGTTCCAGCCAGGAGCTGTGATAGGGATCGCCAGAGAAATGCAGCCTGTTTACAGGTATTGAAATCATTTAAATAGCCCTAAAAGCCTGGTCAGAAACGAAAATGAAGAATGTAGACCTAAGAACATATTACAAATGCAAGCTCTGTGGTGAGGTTCTGATTGCCATTTGCAGTTTCTTTTTGCTGACAGGTTTGAGTTCTAAATGCAACTTAAATACTTATCAGAGATCTGACTTAGCCATAAGAAATCAAGGCTGGGACTGTCACTTTAAATTTTATTTTCTGACTGAGTGTTGCAGTTTTATAACGCTGGCATTTTATAGTTATCATTTAATATGTCAATATGTTTTTCCATCCATCAGCCCAAAAACAAGCCATTTATAAAGCATTGCAATAGTACGAAAGTAGTTATTGAAGATTGAGTATAAAAATTGTAGCTACTCATTAATGAGTTACTCATTATAATCAGAATGAGTATGATTTTAATATAGGAAACATCAATAAATTCTTACATCTACGTTGGATAAGACAATCTGTAGAAAAATAATTGGCTTCATAATTGATGAACAAAATTAAAATCTTAACTGGATTTAAAGATTTTTTGTGTGCAGCTAAGCTCTATGATGCCCAGATTTCAGCACCACAAATGCTGTTTTGCATCCAAAATGGAGCCCAGCACACATCCACACTCTGGTGCTAGTTGCCTAGGTGTCACAGTCATGGGAAGATGAATTTCAGCATCTAAAGAGAAGGTAAGTTTGTGCCCCAAAGAGCTACTGACGCACCCCAGGGTAGCATCTCTGCCATCCCAGTAATGTCACGGAGGACAGATTGCAGGAGTTCTACGCAACCTTGCAAGTCTCTTTGTGCTTCTATCCAGAGCTGTAGTGCCAGCAGTCTGAGCTTGTCTGACAGCAAGCTGGCCTTGCATTATTTCAGTCTGAGCTTTAACTATAGGACTCAGACATTGAATGGTATCAAAACATACAGCATAGTTGGGTCCATTTATACATTATTGGTTTTTTTTTGTGACCACTTCTACGTTGAGCAGCATAGGTTACCAAATCAATACAAAATTTAGTTCTGGGCTCCTCCATGCCCTTTGTTTACTCATAGGCCTTCAGTTAGGCCTGGTTATACACCACCATTTCATAATGCATACCTAGCAGCCTTTTTTTTTGTAGGCCACCCCCTTGAGTCATCAACTGAGTCCTCTATGACAGAGTCTTCTACAACCTCACCATTCATTGAGCTGTTACTTGTGCTATCCTTGTCCCATGCCCTGTCTGCAGCCTATTCTTCCTCAGTATCTCACTGTGTGCAATGGAGACCTTGTGACTCACTGGGTATCATCTCTTCCTCTCAGCCAGAAGCTCCGAGTTGAAGTTCCACCTCAGTACTTGATGACTATGGGAGGGATGTTAATTATCAATCTGTAAATCTTTCGAAAAGCTTTTGACAGGCACTAAGGGTGGGTGGGTGGGTTTCCAGGTCATTTGGAGCATAGTCTCTAAGTGTATACCAGAATGTTTCAGTGGCAGTAGTGTGAACTTGTGCTTACGTTGAGTCCGATAGCCCATAAGAGGCCATCATTTGTCTCAGGTTTAATGTAACTAGCTAATAAATATTATGTAATAAACCTGAGTGAGCTGTATCTTCTGCTGACGACTTTGAGTAGCCGTCCTTCCTCACATGTTACCAACAAGGATCGATGGCAGTCAGTCAATCCAAGGTATCCCAGATTGTTCCAGAGAAAAAGCAAACAAACCTATGCGAAAGCACACACATAGATATAAGACATAGAAATACAACGTTCTTAGAATTGATCCAATATACTATAGCAACATCATTAATGCTATAACATTAGGGATGGCAGAATTGTGAAGTCTCCAGTGGTTTTGCAGGCCTTTTCTTAGATGTTGATTTCCTAAAGCAGTTTTAAAAGAGGAATAGCCAGATAATGGGGCAAGTGTGAAACATTTCCTGAACCTATTCTAATTTCTTTGTGATTCTTATGAGCCAAGAATTTTGCATACTATTTTATTGTGTGGTTCTCCATGCTAATGCATTATGATAAAATAATGTACCATAAAAAGGTATCATGAAAAAGAGCTAATATTTTATGCTAAGTGTAATGTACATATTGTAATATGGCTAAAGATATTTTACTTTTCGGAATCTCATCAATCAAATTGACGTGGAAACATCTAAGAATTGTTTAAGCAGAGGATGTAGAGCTGAATGCATAGTAATTTCACCTTTCACAAAAACGAGATTGGCAGTAGACTAATTTGGGTTTATTGGAATAATGCTGAGAAGCAGTAGATGTTTTCTGTCAGTTGTACTTCATTTTTCAAGGATTCAGCATGTTTCGCAAGTAATTACAATTTATTTTTGATACTGCTATCTCTGATATCTTCTTGCATTAGTTTAATAAGATCTGTAGGTTTCCGCAGGTTTGAAATTACAGGATTTCACATCACCGTGAAACTGGATGCAATCATCTATGTATAACAACAGAATGATATTAGTGTGGTACTGTGTTTATGATGAAGGAATAACGACATTCAAACAATTACATTTTATTCAGATATCGTAAAGATATAGATTAAATTGGAAGTTACAGTGAGGTATGTCTTTTAAAAAAAACTCATGTTTATATAGAGGGTCTAGGCCCGAAACGTCAGCCTCTCTGCTCCTATGATGCTGCTTGACCTGCTGTGTTCATCCAGCCCTGCACCTTGTTGTCTCGGATTCACCAGCATCTGCAGTTCCTACTATCTCTGATTCATGTTTATATAGCACCTTTCACAACATCAGAACATCCCAAAGTATAGCATCAATGATTTATTAAGTGTTTTTACAGGTATATTGTAGAAAATACAACAACCAATTTACACACAGTTTTGTGACGTCTGTTAACTGGAATAGTGCCATGGATCGGAGAGGGTAGGGTTTAATATATGTGTGAAACATCTTGGTTTTGCACAGACTGTCTGCCTTTTGATTTTTGTCCCTAAGTTGGACTTGAACCCACAACCTTTTGACTTTGATGTGAGAGTCTCAACTGAGCCATGAGTGAAGACATGTATTCAGTTATTAAAAAAAAGCCTATCAAATACCATGAAGGTATCATTAGAGCTGAGCTGACTTATTTAGTTGTTTTCTTACGGTAAACCCTCAGTATTAAATCCCCTCTCATTTGGGAGCACACACACACGCATGCGCACACACACTTTATATCTATGTTCATGGAACATAAGTATTGCCGAAAAGGCCAGAATTTATTGCCCAATCCTAATAGTTCATCAGAAGGTGGCGGTGAACTGCCTATTTAAATCACGCGGCCCATGTTGTGTAGGGACATCCACAGCATTGTTAGGAAGGGAGTTCCCGGTAGGTCCGGTGACAGTGAAGGAACAGTGATATAGTTCCAAGCCAAGATGGTGAGTCGGTTGGATGTGAACTTTCAAGTGGTGGCGTTCCCATGTATCTACTGTCGTTGTCCTTCTAGATTAAAGAAATTGTGAGTTTGGAAGGTGCTGTCAGAGGAGCTTTGGTGAATTTCTGCAGTGTATCTTGTAGATGGGACACATCTCTGCCACTGTGCATCAGTGGTGAGGAGATTCAGTTTTGAAAGTGGTGGATGGATGTCAGTCATTGGGCTGATTTGTCCTGAATGGTGTCAAGCTTCTTGAATGCTGTTGTAACTTTACCAATTTTAGCTACTTCCAGGGACATTTTAAGATGCTTTCAGAACTATTTCCAAGTTAAATGATGATCCATAAGGATGGTGAAGCCTGACATAGTTCAGCAGTGCAAATAACATTAAGCAAAGTTTAATGGCTGGTGAAGAATAAAATCTTTCACTTTAAGAAGTAAACACAATATATTATCCAAAGTGCAGATTACAGCTGAGAATTGTAACAAATTGTTCAATGTCTCAATATTTCGCCTCCTTACGATGACCAGGAGCTGAGATGGTGAGTGGGCACTTAAAAAGTGAGATCCATATAACTCCAAACCAACCTGCCCGCAGTCATTTTATACAGGAGAAATCGAGGCATCTGACTGTGGAGCACTAATTAACGTTTTTAAATTGGGCTCCAACTGCGCAATTGGGAGCTTAATTTGTAACTAACTGGTGCTGCAGGGATTTCCCACGGGGTCAGAAAGGAAAATGAGACAGCCAAGTCCTTGAGGTGTGCAACTCAAAATTGCAACACTCCCTATGGTGAGGAGGAGCCGTAATACAGGTAGATCTGCTATAACTGTATTTCGTTAACGTGAATTAGCTGTAATGCAGTTGATGAATACTGGTCGCTATTTGGGTAATGCACACTTTCTGCTATACTGGTATAGCGATTTTCTATAGCGATTTCTCTATGACACGATTTTCTACAGTGCAAGGTCACACAAGAACACAACTATCACATTATAAGAGGACCACTTGTACTCTCCCAGAGACCTGTAAGGCAAGGTTCAGCCTCAAATCATCCCACTCAATCCTTCTGATTTTTTTTCCAAGTCTCCCTTTAGCTTCCTGATCACCAGGTTCCCCCTAGATTGCGCATCGTGCCTCGACTTCACCCCATTGTTGAGAACCGTGCCCAGAGATGCACAGCTGTGGCCTCCTCCCACAAGTGTTTCCTTACGCCTGATAACTTCCATTCGGCTCAGGCCTATGTGGGAGCCGGAACTACCATATTTAATCATCTTCATATCTCTGGATTCTTTGACTGTTTATCATCCCACTGCATTCATCGTACATGTGCTCTAATTTAGAGTTACAGAATGTTACAGCATATTAGAATGCTGTCTAATTCCATTTCACTGTCTCCATTGCCCTACATGGTTTTTCTTTTCAAATGTTTATTCAATTCCCTTTTGAAAATTGTTGTCGAATTTGTTCCCACTGCCCTCTCAGAGATTGCATTCTAGACAATGACAGACGGGGAAAAGTAATATTCATTATCTGCCTTCATCTTGATGTTGATAATGATGGTGTAGGAGGGAGCGAAAGGAGAGATAAAAGAAGTTAAAGTGAACTTTTGT